TTAACCTTTTTTTAGGCCGAAAACTTAAATCGGTAGTCCAATGGCAGGATACTTACTTTACTTTACTTTACTTCGGCTATCTCCTACGGAGGATGAGCCGGCTTCATGAACGTCTCGAATCATCGCTGCCCAGGCGCGGCAATTTGTAAGAGAGTTCATGAAGTTTCATGGGAATTTGGTACGAGTGATGTCCCCAGCATCGCTCGGCCTTTTGTTTGAGAGTGCAGCTCTAGCCTTTACACAGCCAAGTATGACCTACAAGGCAGTAGGAGTGGAGTAAGGAGTCCACTATCCATTGGCAGCCGGTGACCGGAGTTCGGTTCATACGCCTTTTTGAATGGGGCCAGACATCCAGGACATCCAACAAGCCCTTTGTCCATACGTCTGCCGGTGAGCTCCAGTGAGCTTCATACGCCAGTCGTTGGAGGTTTGGAATCAGGGTTTAGCCATCTCCCCTAGACCGTCATCCAATGGACAGTCAACCCGGTGGAGAGCGCCGGGCATCCGCTTTCGCCCTCTCACTTTGGTGAGAAACACCTCCGCCACGTGAAGGCAGTGAGTAGGACTTCCTCAGGAGAGGCTATGTAAGACGCCCGGTCATATGGGAGCATTTCAAGAGGTGTGCGGAGGGGTGGCCAACCCGCAGCGCAAGGCACCCACCCCCGACCATCCTGAGGCTTTGGAGGCAATGGCAGGATGCTTGCCAGCCACACATTTAGGAGGTCAAAGTTCGTTTCTCAGTCAACGTACTAGGAAGTTTATTACCCGACAATAAGAGGGAAAGTCGGAAGTGTCAAGGTAGAAACCCCAGCCAAGATGGGAAAAACAACACCACATTTACCCAAACTTGACTTTTAGGAGTAGTACTCAGACGAAATGATGACACAGATCAATAAAATGGCTGACCGGTGATCACGTTGGTTGATATGAGTTTCACAGTTATGAATTAGCCAATGCTTAGAGACTTTTAATAGGGATCAGATAATGCAGATATACATGTTTATTCTCTATCATTTTTTTAAAAGCAAATTCCGAACACTTCGAAAAATCTTTATCTATTACTACTTACCGGGTTTTCACTGATTTAAATTGCAAATTACCTCAACCAACCGACATCACTAAGAGAACCGTTGAAAACGAAGGACAAATGTCACAATTCACACGTCAATGTGCTGCAACTCAATGCCTGAACTCTCAGAGTTCAACTAATAACTTGAAGGGTCTTTGTACGATCTCTGGTAGAGTCATCGTTACGCATTGCGGCAACCTTCCAACTAGGATGGAACAGCCGCTACCCAGTTTTTCCTATTCCTTCACGTTCCCGGCTGAACATAGGGTGGCTTCAAGCCAGAGGCTTGAAGTTTCTGTAGCAGCGTTTATTTTTACAGGATGGGTTTGCTAGCCAGTCTCATGCTTAACCTTCCCTCTTTGCGAGTTCTATTACTAGCATGCTAGTACTAAGCGTGCTGTTGGAGTCCTATGCCCCACTTGGAACCCAAGGAAAAAAATAATAATAGTATATACTTGAATCCTCGATAAGCACTTTCTTAACATATAAAAATTAGTATCCTGGTTGTCCAAACCTCACTAGTGCTGGAGAATGTTTACAGACATCGACCTAGCAGTGGTTGGATATCAGACATTTACACAAATGAGTTCCAGCCTCATCTCCAACAGGAAGTAGACTAACATTAAACACACACGTATTCTGATGCATGATAAGAATTCAGATGAACCTTAAACAGACACCTTACACACTTCTGTATAGCACTCTTGGGTTTCATTAAAAACACTAAGTTGCATTTTCTTGGTACGGTTATATCTCCTGAACTGAATAGTTTAATTTACCAAGTTTTCGTTGTCTGCCTAGATGACAACAGACATAGTCTGTCTGTCTGTTTTCGACATAGAACTTTACACATATGTGCGGCAGTTCAAATCCCCACACTCCCTCCATATAGCACACAAAGCAACAGAAGAAATGCATAATAGAGACAGTAAACAGATGTGTGAGACAAAGGAATAGTAATAACGAAGAACAAAACAGTTTCACTGGAAATCATAAGTCACAAGGAGTGAATGCATCTGCACCAGCCATTGAGAACGATGAGTTTGAGCCATGTCATCAATTGTTTCCAACCATTGGTTTTTACCGTCCTGAGGACCCCAACCAGTCAAAAAGTCTACACCTTCCTACGTGGCTTAAACTGACTGTTGTGGATTTCATTGACTGATAAAGCCATGTTTTGGTTTAACCGCCGCTGGCTAGCTCTTTTCCAGCCTGACCCTTTGTCAGTCAGTTAACATTGCCCGTCGGTCGAGGAAGGCGATGACTAGGCATACGTAACACATTTCCCAACCATCTCAGTCGATTCAGCTTCACAACCTCGTAGACTGATCTCCCCTCCCACCTACCTAGCACTCGACGCCTAACCTCAATATTGCTCATCTTATTATACCACTTCACACAAGAGATAGAACGCAGGCACCTATGATCAAAGACAGCTAATCTTCCCATGCCTTCCACTCTCAATGGCCAGGTCTCACAAGCATAAAGGAGGACGGAGAGGACGATGAGCAGTACACCCGCCCTTTGGTCGATAGTCGAACATCTCGTCTTCGCCAGAGACGGCGTAAACTGGCATATGAGAAACTACACACACAGTCACATGAAAAACGTCCATCTGAACTTCAAATCTCGATGAAGCAATGCTGCAAAATACCAAAACCCTCTTGTCATGCGCATAATGAAATATGAATAGTAAAAGATAAGCACTTGTAAATGAGAGCACCTGTTATAAAAGGCACTAGTGTGAAGTCTTATGGCAAAATCTTGGATCTCCAAAGTCATAAACTCAGAATCTACAAAAAGGAAAACAACCCAAGTCATTACTTCAACATGAAAAATCCCTCTTTTGAATAATTCGAGTCCATAAATATTCCTTATCTATTTAAATTGAAATCACTTCTTAAAACCAGTGTTTTTTCATGTGCTAGACTACAAACAAGATTTTCCCGCAACAGTTAATGATACTACCCAGCTTCCTAAGCTTGTGTTACAGATGGAACGAAATTCGATCTCTCCAACCAACTGGTTCGTATTCAGCTGCTTAAGGTATACACCCAATTCACTATAAGCAATCACTTAGTAACTTGTAGAGTACTAGCGGTATTGTATAAGGTTGACAGTATTCATACATACCTCACTGGTTTAGTCAGCGCTCAACTGTCATACAATGAGTTCTGAGTGTCTGAATCCCCATCCATCTGATCCAACCTGGAGACTGCCGTATTTCCCCAAACACGCGCAAAATAAATGTGGTTCAGCGCGGTGCCTGGCACTTAGTCCCCAGCCAAGTAAACAAAGGAAACTGACACTGCAAATAACTAATACTACCATAGATTTTCGGACGTGAAATGTTATTCTTAGTTGGTTATATGGTGATGTTGAAACCTGAAAAGTCGGTTTAAAATAAAATACTTATGACTCCCCCCTCAACCACTACTTAATGAGACTTAAGTGGTGCTACCTAAAATTAATGGCATAGTTAACCGCCGCGTAAACACTCTGACAAGACGAGTGGTGGTAATGGATACGCACATTGTGGATTCTCACGTTACCTTATCTGACTGGAGTGATTGCATCACGTAAAATCTGACAGTTGGTAAAGGTTAATAAAGCTTCAAGTCTCAAACCGCAAAGGATGCTACGTAGGGTAGACCCACACAAAACGAAAGTCTATATATAGTCCCTTTACTTTCTAAATAGAGACCTTTCAAATCCAACTTGTTCATCACTACATCAACTAGGCTCCACAGAAACCTTGATGGCTATAGGTCTCTAGTCTGACCACAAGCAAAGGGTCTCGAGTCACGCAGGAAGATATTTAGAGAGGTTAAATAATATACGTTCAGGCGACTAAAAACACTACAGCTTTAGTTACCTTAAGACGCACATAGTGAAAAGACTAGGGGTTGCAGCCACGAAATCCATTCTACCGATAGATTACAGAGTAGATAGTGGCCCGGAAGAACTGTTGCAGACAAACCAGCATAAGATAATAGATAAACGAGGAATTGAGTGTTCTAACCATGATTGGTAATTACCTGACGTACAACTGAAAACTTGCTAAGTTCATTGTCTAACATTTGACATTCACGAGGATTCGATATACTTCCAAAATGCTAGAAGTCAGAGGAATCAAAAGCAAATGGCCACCAATAGATCATTCCTTAAAATTCATATATGGCATCTGCATAGTACGATGTTTAACATACCACGTTGAACATAACTAGGCCTACAAAAAACGAGACTGAACGCTCTAAATACCTTGCTGCGTCTTTGATAACCTGCCACTTACGCATTCGTAAAGGTGAGACTGAAAGCAAAGGTAGTGTGGACTCTCAGTAAGGTTGGGCGAGTTATAATTTTTGGGGAGATGAGTTGCCAACACCGAAACAGGCTTTCGTACGCCTCACGAGCTAGGAAATAAAGCACGATCGGATTAAATCTTAAATGGCAGAGAAAGCCATTCTACTACTCAAGAATCAACTACCCCTGATTGACATCTCAATCAATAAAACCCGTAGCAAGAGATAGTGTTGAGAGTAGAGGGTGTACCAGTATGACACTACTTAAGCCTTCTGCAGTTACACAATGTTCGCAGAAGTCATGTGAACGGCATGTAGTCTAACGTTTACACAACCTACAGTGGACAACATGCACTCAACTCAGAAAAAAGGTATAACGTCTCGCTATGTCTTCATTCAACGCCACTAGCGTACTCCAAAGGACGATGGTTGAAAACGATCATAGGCAGGGTGTCGCAGTAAACTCATACAAATGTATACACGACCACAATCTAGAATTCCCGATGGCTAAATAACTGAAGAACAAAAAGCACGTGCAAGTGGAGTTCTCTGGAAGCTAAAGGCGGATAGTTTCTGTGGATGAGTCCGCCATCTGTCCAAAGAAAACGAGACACTCAGAAGGCGGATTTAATCAGGCCGAATGAGCTTTATTGAGTAACATACATTTAGAATGGAATCCGGATTAGCACTGTCCACAGTCAGCAATTACTACTGTCTTTGATGTCTTCCCAGATTCAGACCCAAGACTCTCCATCTTTTTGACGACGTCACTACCCTCTACCACTTTGCCAAACACCACGTGCTTTCCATCAAGCCAACTACATCTGTCAGTAGTGATGAAGAATTGGGACCCATTTGTGTTAGGACCAGCGTTGGCCATGGAGAGAAGGAATGGTTGATCGTGCTTGTGGATGAAGTTCTCATCTGCGAACTTTGAGCCATAAATGCTTTTGCCGCCAGTTCCGTTTCCGTTGGTGAAATCACCTCCTTGGCACATGAATTTAGGAATTATGCGATGAAAAACGCTGTTCTTGTAACCATAGCCCTTTTCATGTGTGCAGAGTGCGCGGAAGTTCTCGGCAGTTTTGGGGACATCAGGAAACAACTGAAGGTATAATAAGAATGAGCATATAACTTACTTCAAAAACGATTCTCCCCAATGGCTCACCATTAGCTGTAATGCTGAAGAACACCTTGGACATCTTGCCACCCACTCTCTTAAACGACTGAATTCTCGAAGTAAACAATAATGAATGAAAGCACAGACTCCGCGATTAATACAAACAAACACGAGTGGATTGTACATTGAATGATATATATTAAAACTTCTGCATGTGTCTCTAATACAAATAACATAAAGTTTTTAGCTCTTAATTTTCATTAAAATGATATTTTTCCAGTTTTCTCTTTCGGATGTTTTTCTTCCTGAATAAGTGTAATAAAAAACCTCGTTGTTCTATCTCCATATGATAGACATCCAGATGTTCTAGGATAATATGAGAACATACTCCTGGATAGTTATTTCCATCTAAATGTCTTGTCGTTTAAGTGATGGGTCCAGAATCACCTCATATAAGATGAATTCTATAGTTTGTGTATGTGAATATATACTGCAGCTTAAATTCAACAAAATACTGCTGAGGATAGAAAGAATAGAACTGGGTGGACTAAGTGTACGATAACCAAGTAAATCTGTAGTTCGCATCCCCATTCTCAAGGCTGGAGTTACGAGGACGCATATAGCCACGAACCAACACCACTTTTGGTTCTTTATTCTAGCTAATACCTATATTCTGATATTCTGTAGCCTGGCCCCATTAGAAAAATGAGTTCTAAGACCTTTCGCCTGAAATATTCGCAGCCTTTTAAGCACTCAAAGGAACCCAGTCATTAAATTCATCAGTTACTCCCAAAGTGGGAGCAAGCAGCACAAGAAGAGAAACCATTTGGTGTCAAGAGGCACTGGCCCAAAAATGGACGAAAGAGGAGGATTCTACAGGCTACTGTGACATTATTGATTTCGTGATTGGGGTAAAGTGAACGACCATACAGACAGCCATAAAGTGGTGTGGGTTTCACCAAGTGAACAAAGTTGCGAGTGAAATGCGCGAAGTTGCTTAATTGTGCAACCGCTCACCGCCTGTATGTAAACAGTTAAGCAACTGATGCACAAAGATCCTTCAGCATAGAATTTAGGGCAGTGTTAGTTTACTACATACAGCTGAGCGGATTAGAAACAAATTTTTTGCGTTCAGAAGCGATCTGTGATTAAACCTGCTTAGCTAGGGTCAACATCGTTAGTGTTTTAAATTTCCTTTTGGTTAATTTGTCATTTTGATTTCTACTTCGTTTTGGTAATGTTACTTCATATCCTTAATTTCGTCCCTATATAAAATCTAACCGCACCAGTTTTTCTCTGTTCAACTAAAATACCAGTGTGATCTTTTGATATCTTCCCTGGAATAGTACGCGGAAATGAAGCTGGTCGGACACCCATAAGATTGTACATGTTGACTGGGACTTGTATCAGCACCTAATTAGATACTCTAACTGGGACTCATACTTTTCGGAAGAGTCCTTAGAGGCCATTCTTAACAACTTTTATCACAATATTAACTCAATTCATGTCGTCGTTGCACTTGAGAAGATTCTTAGATTCAGGTTCCTCCAAAGCGATTATGTTCCCACATCGTTAATCAGAAGTCAATGAAATACTGCAGATATCGTGACTTATCTTCACTAATCACTATCACGTCTGTACTCACTAGAATTCAAGAGTTGAAAAATATAAGTCTCAGAAACAAAGAAACGCGGGCCATTCAACCACCGCATAACCAAGGAGAAATATCGAAACTTTTCAAAAATGGGTTTGCAACCTCCAAAACAGCCTATCCAAAAATAATATAATTAGATGTCATTGCTTGTGAGAATGCCGAGGTGATATGCGAACTTTTTAGAAAGCAGTTTGCCAGATTGTTCACCTTGCAAAATTATCAGGTTATGGATTTCCCACGTAAAACAGACGAATGTCTAATAATAATAATAATAATATATATTCTCATTTTTTACATGAGGGACGCCAGTTTACAGGCATCATCAATTCGATAATTTACACATAATATTAATAAGCATATTTAGTAAAGATAATATAGTAAAGTACATTTTTTCCCTAGCTATGTAGGGTACACCAATTGTATAGGCATGCATAAATATTGTTTTAATAATAATAATAATATATTCCTTCCTGTTTATGCAGGAACATACCTATTGTACAGGAATGGATAAGTTATTATATAAATTACACATAATTTGATGTATAATGGACTTACAGTTTGGTTGTTCTTTCTGACATTAGGGTCAGTCGGAACAGTCTGCTATAAAGTCTGTTTGTGTAGCACATAAAGAGATATAGAAATATTATCTTCGCATTAACAAAAAACCCAGACATCACATGAATGTAATACAGATATATGGGAAAAATAAAGCTTGAAGTCAATTCTCTTATATAACTTTGTTGTGAACAGCACCGTTGGCTTAAAGATTATTGATGTATTATGTTGAGATCAGTGATATATTTATTCCATTTTTCAGCAGTCTTATCGTAGTTTCATAACAGGAAAGAAATTTGATCGTGGAGGCGAAAATTAGATAAGGTCATGTCGGGTTGTTTTACTGCATCAAATGGTCCCGAGGTCGATTACAGAATTCTCCATTTGCGCCATTTGTGTCTGCATGGCGGACTGTACTCGTAAGTTGAGTAAAATGTTGAAAACCAGTTGCTTCTTTATTTCAGATCATGAATACTCATTTACATCGTGTCCGCCAGCTTCTTTAAATGGTAGAATTGGATCGTTCCTGGAATTTGAGTGATTATGGGATAAATGGTTTGGAATTAATCATAGCAGTTACAATACAGTTAAACATGCAGAGAAGTACTTTTGATTCAGCAACCGGTGAATTTTTTATTCTTTTCGATCTAGTACCAGAATAACTGCGAACCATTCCATTCAATATGTCGAATAAGGAACGCAGGAGGAGATTATTACCATGGAATGGGTCAACTTGATCTGAGATGCAGCTTTCAGCATGTTTTCGTCATATCGTAGATATCCAGGTTTATTGGCGCTGTAGAGGCAGTGATTTGGATTATGACGTATTCTACAAAGTCTCCATGCCCATATGAAGTATACATGTGCTTTGAAAGGATTACTTTGTTGGCTCCTACCCCCACTGAGTGTTAACAACAGCTGCTGTGGGTTTATGTATTTCCTCGCCTTTTTGGATAAAACATCGCCGCATTCTTTTTGGGTAGGAGACCAGTTGGTGGATTATGAATGATATCCAAGTAACTTTTATCTTTTCATGTGGTGTTGCGGTAAGTTTCTACCTTGTTTTCTCATATTTCATTTGTATGTTGATTATGGTTCGCCCTTTGTATCAGGTAGACATAGTTTGATCGACTCTTGGTTGAATGGGTGCTATTGTCATGACTGCTGCTTTTTTGTCTGGAATTATAAATAGAGACAAAACAAACAACAGGTGTAGTCTCTGAGTTCATACATTAAATGGGCCTATGATTTCTGAAACTCTTACATGGGAATTACCATTGGTATCAATTACAAACTCACTTAGTGTGTCATTAAGTGCCTTTTCAAAGGAGGCCAGTGTGTTTGCTAGTCGTATTTTCTCAGGTAGTTTGTTCCATATTTGGGCGTACCTAGTCAAGAAAAAAAAACTTTTGCCTGGTGGCTGTTTTACATGGTTCTATGAGGGCTTAGATCTTTATCTTGAAAAAGATAATAATGAACGCCTTGACAGATCATGCTTCTACCTCTAAATATATACTATTCGCCCAGCCTATTGTTGAGATGCAACCATTGTAACAACAGAAGACAAGGGCTGGCAACAGATCGTTTTATTACGAAAATCAACACGTATTTATATATATTTTATATGCATTAATAAGGCTTATGCAAGCAGAAAAAGGCAGTCTTCTGATTGGTTGTTTCTCGGAAGTTAAGCAGACAAACACAGTCTTATGATTGGTTGTGTTCGATATTTCTCGGAAAGTAGAGCCATCTATCTGCGAATCATATTTGTCCACATTTAGGTTTGCTGTGATTGGTTGTTGAAACAGCCTTGTTCACGGTCAATATTAGTGACCTAGACATTAACGTAGATTAGTGCCAACCAATCGGCTAGCAGCCTGCTCTCACCACACTCGTCCCCCCGTCAAATAGCTTTGTGCGCAGACGTTCCGACCTTCTGGGTGCTACATCCTCTAGTTGAGGATTGTTACTGACCGGCTTGTCCCACTGTACCCATCTTTGTAGCTGACTGGCGTTAACTCGTTTCTGTTTATCACCTCTTCGGATGGTATATACTTGACCCCGTCTTTTTGTGATTGTGTATGGTCCTTCCCACTTTGGAAGGAGTTTCCGTGAACCTAGCCCGCCTCCAACTGTATATCTCCTGTCTCTACACTTCACTTGGTCCCCGACTGCAAAGGTAATGCACTGCGTCCTTTCTTTCATCTGAGACTTCGTGACATCACTGCGCTGCTTCCGTATTACATTCTTGACTGCCTCTTTCCTCTCTGCTTTTAATTTCGTCGTACTCCACTTTTGGTGCATGGGCCAGGTCTCATTGTGTACCGGTAATCGTGGTTTTCTACCATACATCAGTTGGAAGGGTGACTTCTTCGTTGTTTCCTGAGTGGTAGCCCGATGTGTTAGTAAAATCAGTGGAAGCTCCGTTTCCCAGTTCCCGCCCTTCGAAGCCAGCCACTCTTTCAGTGTACGGTTGTTTCTCTCCGTTAGGCCATTCGTTTGTGGATGGTATGGGGTCGTTCTGATCCTCTTGATGCCCAGCTGTTGCAAACGGGAAGTAAACTCTTCACTCTCGAAACAGGGACCTTGGTCTGTCAGTATTGTCTTCGGTACGCCGTGGTCTGCAACAATGTGTCTAACTACTGCATCTGTCACGGTTCTTGCACGTTGGTCTGGGATTGCTACGGCGTCTACCCATCGTGTCGCGTGTTCCGTCATCACCAAGAGGTACTGATTACCATTGGATGTCTGAGGAAATGGACCCATGACATCTACGGACCACAAGTCACCTATCGCGGTAACTGGAATCGACTGAAGTGGTGGTCGTATATACCGGTCACCTTTCATCAGCTGGCACCGTGGACATCCAAGTACGTATCTTGCTACGTCTTCTCTCATACCTGGCCAGTACATACTTTGTCTTAGGAGGTCGGTCGTTCTGGCCACGCCTGTATGCGCTAGCTGGTGACA